GGGCTAACGCAGTTATCAGCATGCTTCATTCATATTTATCAAACGTTAAAAATAAAACAATATAGTTCTTTTTTCGGTTAACTGCGTAGGTCAAAATAAAAATAATACCGTTCTTCACTATTTACCTTGGCGTGTCATGACAGATAAAAGTAAAAATATTTCGCTAAATTTCCTTTTAACTGGGCATACCAAGTTCTCTCCAGACCGTAATTTTGGTATTTTAAAATCCAAATATTCGAAATCAGTGGTTGATTGTTTCGAAGACCTAATAGAAGTTGTAAATACTTCCTCTCCTAACAAATTCAATCTTGCTGTAACGACAGTAGATCCAAAAAATAATGTTCGAAATGTACATTGGTCAGAGTGGGACATATTTTTAAAGCAATATTTTAAACCAGTTACCTCCTTGACAAAATATCGCCACTTTAAATTTCATAAAGACTGTCAAATAAGTGAACAACAATTTTCAAATTCACCGGAAGAAATTGTGCATAAAAGAAAGTATTGATAGCACAAAAGTGTCGAAAATAAAAGAAATAAAACCTCCGGGAATCTCATTACAAAGAGCAAGGTACTTATACGATGAAATACGACCTTTTTGCATTAAAGAATCATCAAAAGATTTAATTGTTTTAATTAATGCCCAGCAAACCTAAGCCAAAGAAAATAAAGAAAGACTAATTATAATAGGAAAATATTGTGATATTAACAGAGCTCGAACTAGGTCCGTAAATCCCGTGAAAATCAGTAAATTTGCTTCAAGTCCACAAAAGTCGGGTTTTTTTAAAAAAGGTCAGCAAAGTCCGTAATTTGATAAAAAAAGGTCGAAAAGTTTGTAAATTGTACGGTATAATTCGGAGAATTTTAGAAAAATTACTGTAGGTAAGTGGTTCCGAAGTCTACTAGCTTTACTACTTAAAAACTTGTAATTCCAACGAATGGTGTCCATAATTTTTTCAAATAGTTAACCCATTCTTACCAAATTATTCTTTCTCTAGAGACAGGCTCATTGTGACCTAAAGGAGATGAGTTTGTTACACATTGGATCAAATCTTCATGTATGTCAATATTGTTGAACTTAGCAAGATAGTGATGCAGGCAGCTAAAGTAAGAGCTTTCTGTTTGTTGTGGACTGACTGACTGTTTTAGCTTTATGGAGATGGTGTTCAAATAAATTCAGTTTCTGTTAGCGTACTTAATCGGTCCAATTTTTCAATTAAGAAATCAAAAGAAAAATTAAGGTAGTAAAAGTAAAAGTCTTTTATCGTGATGACATTTTATATGCAGTATTATTACTGAGCAAACGCGTGCTTTGTACTCTAAGCGATTTTAAATAAAAAAGTAGTAAAAAAACTAAAAAGTTTTATTGGATATGTGTGTTGACAGTGCTAGAGTGAAGATTTTTTGAAAATTAAGTCAGGTAAATATATGGAACGTATTGTTTTGACCTTGGACAACAGATTTTTGTATTTTACATTATTCTCAATTCGCGCTGTATCAAATTAACACCATCATATTTCGATCAATAGCTTGTAAGGTATGATGGCGTAATTTTTGTAACGTACAGTGGCGGATAATTCTTTCCACGAGTTTCAACTGTCTTTGCATTTTTTGTGTATTAATGCCTCTTGTGCTCCACCGGAAGAAGTCTCGAATATGTGACAGTTGCGGTCTTCTCTTATGCTAGTTGCGTTAAAACAGTAACCAGCTACTTCACATGTCCAAATTGTAACCATAACTGAAGTGAAACTTTTTTTTCTATAATGTAAAATCATCAGTTTTTTCTCTTTTTGTTATTTTTCATCATTTTTAGTAGTTTTAATAAATGATTTTAACATCTACATAATGTTTTAGTTGAATACACCAAATCCGCCACCATACCTTACAACTTTCAAAAATAAAAATCAGTGTTTTGCGCCAAAAGCTGTAAAATTTCACTGCAATTAAATTTTAACCACCGCTTCTGACATAAATATGCTTAATAGATGTCAACAACTGCCTGCTTTGGAAATTTAGAAAAATATTGTTTTTTGAGAGAGAGAGACGCAAAAAACAAAGTGTTCGCCACCATACCTTACACTCCCCTTCATATATATTCCAGATATTTCGAAAAGCTCTACATATTACTTGTCTTTCATTCTTCCGGACCGAGTGCTGAAATATACATTCAATAAATTAATGACTTTATTTCGCTGGATAAATTCTACAATTTTAATGATTTTATCTTGTTGCAATGCTAGTGGATTGGAACTGACTTTATTTGTTTTACTATGAATTCGTTACTCAACTCCATTATCATTGAAGTGACTTATTAAAGCTTTATATCGTTTTACTCCACAGACGTGCATAAACAGGAACAACTTACGACAAATAGTCAATTTATGATAAGTGTAAGCAACTTTGCTTTTCGTATCTTCGGACACTTTATTCTTTATATACTTCTTTTGTCCCACAATACTTTTATAGGCTTTATCATCACCCACATTTAACATAGTTTCGTACAAATATTAAATAGTTTTTCCTTCTTCACGATATTTTCGAATTTGTTTTAAATACTTCCTTCGCTATAAAACTATATCGTTTCTTTCTAACAACAATTTGTTTCTTTTACGTTTTTCGAAAGTAAATTTTAATTCTTTTAACACAGTATGTACAACTCAGTTTTGGAATATCGTCTTCTAACACCAAAACCGATGTTAACCCTTTAACGACGAGATGTGCTACTTTTCAACATGAATTTCAATCTCTTACAATTAGTAGAAAAAAGCCATACAAGTTTTTAAAAGTCCATACCCTACTATTTTTGGGGTCGCTCTTTCAAATGGTGTTATCAAAATTTTCAAAAAATGATATTAAACCCATCTTTTTTCAAAAATACTAAAAAAGTCAAGTTTTTTAAATGTAATTTTTTTCAAAAGAATTTTTTTCTCTATCATAACGCTTTTCAAATACAACAAAAAGTATCAAAAACGTGTTCCCGATAGTTGTACTTAAAAAATATTGTCAAATAATTATTAAAATTTGTTACACGGGGGTTTTCAGGGTCGCTGATTACAAATCTGATGTTAGTTTTTAAAAATTCAAAATGGCGGATCAAATATGGAGGACGAAATAATAAAATTGTTCAGATTTGCTTGAATTCAAAATGGCGAAATTATTATACTCTATTTGCTCTGACTCTATCAGTATCAACTAATCTATATTTCACAATATGTGACAGGGAAAGTTAAAAGTGATCTACGGTACGACATAATCGATGTTAATTTTTCAAAATTCAAAACGGCGGATCGAATATGGCGGACGTAGTTAAAAAATTAGTCGGATTCGCTTGAATTTTGTTACTCGTGTGTTTTTGGGTCCGCTGATTGCGAATCCGATGTTCGTTTTTTAAAATACTAAATGCTTGGTATAAAATAGCTATAAGAATTGATAAGGACAAACCATTAATACAAATTAATACTGATTTACATAGAAATCCAGAAATTCATCTGTTTCGTAATTATCGACCCCAAGATACCCTAAGTATCAATTTATATATGAATTAAAATATTTTTTTAAACCTTGTCTGCCATATTGAATCCGCCATTTTGAATTTTGAAAAACTAACATCGGATTCGTAACCAGCGACCCCGAAAACCCCCGAGTAAAGAGTTTCAATCGAATCCGATCAATTTTTAAAATGTCATCCGCCATATTAGATCCGCCATTTCAAATTTTTAAAAACTAACATCAGATTCGTAATCAGCGATCCCAAAAACCTGCGAGTAACAAATTTCAATCAGATTTGAGCAATTTTGAAAAAGTTTGTCATCTTACGTAAAATAAGGAAAAAATTTTGTCCTTCAAGCGCCATTTTAAATTCAAAATCGAAAAAAATAAAAATTAGAAATGAATATTTTTCAAGTACAACTATCGGAAACACGTTTTTGATACTTTTTGTTGTATTTGAAAAGCGTTATGACAGAGAAAAAAATTCTTTTGAAAAAAATTACATTAAAAAAACTTGACTTTTTTTAGTATTTTTGAAAAAAGAAGGGTTAAATATCATTTCTTGAAAATTTTGATCACATATTCGGAAGAGCAACCCCAAAAATAGTAGGGTATGGAATTTTAAAATCTTTTATGGCTTTTTTTTACTAATTATAAGAGATTGAAATTCATGTTGAAAAGTAGCACATCTCGTCTGTCCAACGTTGGAAATTCACCATTTATGTAAAAAGTATGCACTTTTCTTCTAATAAGGTTCTTTTGAAGTTCATCCAATTTTTGATAAATCCTAAGTCGAGACTTTGATCTTTTTGGAGACCGAATGACGCCGTTCTGATCATATTCTAAAAGAATTTTTTTGCTGTTCTCATTCTAATTCCTGTTTCTTCACTTATATGTATGCATAATTGCATCTTTTTCATAATTTCTGGATTTTTCTCTTTTAAATTTTTGAAAGAGTTTACTGTAATCTTCTTCACGTTACTGATAATAAGCTAATAATTGTAAATAAAATTCATTTAGGGCAGTCTAATACGACGATATATTTAAGGAAATAAAGACAGTTTAACTTATTTGTCCTCTTTTATTTTTTTAAAAAAGTGACATTTGATTAGCATTTTTTTTCATTTTACAGTAGCAGTAATCACAATAAATAAATAAGCAATAAAATCTAATGCTTCAATATATTAAAATATATTCAAAAATTTATGAGTCATTTTTTGTCAAGGGGACCCCCCTGCTCTCCAAAAATGGTTTAGGTTTAAATTACCGGGCATAGGCGGAAAACTTAAGTAAAAAGGAATACTTTTAAATGCCGAGTACATACATACCTTTCAGTTGTAAAAGAGGAAGAACAAATTATGGAGAAGAAATATTGTTTGCTGTTTAATTAATTTCGAGGAAAAATTTATTATTAACATGAAAATAGAAAACAGAATAGAAAACTTTATCTACAAAATAAAAAATAAATTATATCATCAATTTCGAAAACGGCTCAACTCGAATTTTTTCAAACTTCACTTTTTTTACATTATCACATATCCATTGACGTTTTATTAAAAGAAAAGTTTCATTTGAGGTTCTTTTAGCAGAGAAAAGTGTATTAAAGTATGCTTTCCTTTGGACTTTTAACCTAAGATTGTTTGTTTTCTAACCTAATGTTGAATGGTTTTTAAGGGTGAAGTCCCATGATGAGTGTAAAGTGCAAAATACAAAGTGCTTCATAAACATAGACGAGGAAACTCATTGCCTTGTGATAGGCGAAGATGGGCTCGTCAGTTTCAGTTTGTATATATATATAGTAATTTAATTTCAAGTTAATATGATTTTAATAATATATACACATAAATCGTATCTTATAATTGTTTTAGCTCCATTATCCAAAAGTAAAAGAAAATGGTTCGAAGAAGTCATATTAATTAATGAAGTTAGTAAGCGGCCAAAATGATATGATCGTTCCGAAAGGTATCATGAAACACCAGAAGAAAGAGAAAGAATTTGGGAAGAAATTGCTAATTTATTTTCTGGTAGAGTAATACTTATCTATTTAGTTTAATTTTCAAATAACAATATTCTCTTCTTTTGAAATAAAGTTTGTAAAAAATTTAGTTCTTAAAATTATTTTCAATTGTTAAGATCTTTCGCTCCCGCATTGAAGAGGCAGTGGAAAAATCTACGAGCTCAATATTCCAGAACTGAAACTGTTTAGTTCCGACATCATTATTTGATAAACTGTATTGAAAACGCAAGCGCTGAGTAAGGATATATCTTTACTAAAGCTATTTAAACAAATTTTTATTAAAATATTTTAATATTTCAATTATTATAATACTCTCCTTATTAAACAGATAATGACTAAAATTATTTATAAATTCTTTTACAGCGAAATTCTACCTGATACTGAAACTCATAATGAAATTGTCAATGAAAGATTGACTGTTGAAAATTCTAACCACGTATCAGTGCAAAACTCGAATACCAGATTAGGTACGTCATTTTTACAAAAATATCCATAACAACTTACTTGAAAATTAAGCATAATTTATTATTATTATATTTAGAAAATATAATACAAGAAAAATCTGCAAAAAATGCATACAGAAAAGTGTCAAAATCTCTTTCCAATAATTCAACAAACAAACAAATTCTTTTATCATTTTCTCATACAAAATAGCATGTAGTTACTACGAAAAAATCTGGAGTCATTAAATTAAAGCTGTTTGATATAAACAGTTTTTGTGTTTCCTGTAAAATTTAAAAAAAAAACGAGTTGAGACATTTTCGAAGTTCACGATTCAATTACTTAAAATAGTTTTTTTTGAAAAATTGGATATCTGTTCACAAACATTTAATCTTACAAATTCAACATAAGTACATTTATTCATACATAAATCCATATTTACAAATTTTGTAATGGTCCGTCGATGTCTCATAAATTTAACTAGGACAATTCTACAACTGACTTATGAAGTTGTATCGCGTATCATTCATCTGCAATGCACTTATGTTGAATCTGTAAAGTTAAATATTTGTGAAAAGATATCAAATTTAAAAAAAAACTTTTTTAAATAATTGATTTTTCATTTTGTAGATAAACTTTTCTATCCTGTTTTCTATTTTCATGCTTATACTAATTTTCCTCTTAAAATTAATAAAACAGCAAAAAATATTATTTCTCTATATTGTTTTTCCTCTTTTACAACTGACAGGTAAGTAGAACTTTCATCTGCATTTATAAACTTGAAATATTCACAAACAAAAGATATTTGCTTACATTTTTTGCGTCCAAACCTAAAAAGTTGGGTTTTTCATGATTATATTTTGGGATAGTTACGGAAATTCATTTTATTTGAATATAGGAGCTGGGGCAATTTTACAGTTTGGAATTTTGGAAAATATAAGCTTAATCCTACAAGTTTTCGTTGACCGAAGTTGGATCCATATTTGTATAACTTTAAGGCGCTTGAGGAGGGGTGTGTTAAGGGATGGAAATGAAGGAAATATTAATGTTGAAAGTCACTTATATGGTGCAGGCATCGTAGATTAACAGTGGTTTCATTTTTCATGTTTTCACATTACATAAGTTTAAATGCGTTTTTATCAAAATTACATTTTTCAAAACGGTGGGCTGTCTAGGGAGAACAGTTTTGATCGTATTGACTTCGTCCAAAGTTTTTTTTGTTCGTCATTTACTAATGCTTCCAAGTACGTAGCGGATTTTTTTTTGGTTTTTTTGGCAATAGATATTTTGAAAAAATTTCGCCCTAAAAATCGACTTTTTTCATCAAACAGCTGCCAAATACACAAAAATTAATATTTTTAAAATATCCTACGTCCTACTCTAAAGCTAAATCTATCACAGATTCAGAAAAACTTTGAATTTTTGTTTTTGAATAAACGGTCTAACCAGAATATTGCCCACCGATTTGCCCTGCAAAGAAACGAGTGTAGGGATCCTGCATGTGTTCTCACCCCAAGTACAAGAGAGAACCATGGGTGTGTTTGTTAGTAGTAAAATAAATGATCATGGGAAGGTGAAGAATTGAAAAAATTCAATGTATCGTCAAAATTGCGACGTTCCGTTGGCTAAGGTTTGCCAACTTATCAGGCTAAATTTATTTAAACAGAAAAACACTTCAATATTTATAAAGGTTTAAAACAACACTATACACTATACTAAAAATATGTTTAAAGAATATCCTACCAGGTTCGTTAAAACATAAAAATCGCGTTCTAACTCGTCAAAATAAAAAAGATTTCATAGAGAAAAAATATTTTTTATAAAAATTTCCACATGTATTAAAAAAGAAAAGTTTCTTCATATGAGAGGAAGACATTTCAGCACACTAGTTCAGTGTCAACTGAAATAAATTAAAAATTTGCTATTTCGAGAAAGTCAAAAGAATCAAGATAAAGAAAAAGTCAATTAACCGAATGTAAACACAGTTTTATCATAGAGGGAGCAAGTTGTGTTATTGTTGTGTCATTATAGACAAGAATCTAAACGTCTGAGAAGAGGAAAAAAAGTTCTGTTTAGAGTGAAAATATCTTCTTTTCTATTAATAGTGGAATGATTTGTTTTTATATGGATCATTTCAGATATTCGTCGTTTTATAAAATTTGGTTCATTGTCCAAAATTTTGGCATTTTCCCAATCGAAGTCATGATTACAATTAATTCGATGGCGGTAAACTACAGAGTTATCATTTACTTTTTTATGTTCATTTATGCGAGTTAACAATGATCGTTTTGTTTCACCTATATATGTTGCTGGACAATCTTTACAGTCAAACTTGTATACAACATTTGTTCTGTCCCATTTTTTAGATGAATCTTTACCAAGTCTAATTATAGAATTGGAGTTTTTATTAATAAGTGGAATCGCAGTAAAATGAAACTCTTTGAGAATATTTGACAACTTAAAGAAACATTTTTCATTGAACGGTAAACAAACCTTCGGGATTTGACTGTAAATACTAATTTTATTTCGATTATTGTTATTATTATTATTAACCTGAGAAAATTTTATATGGTTTATACGAATTTTTATATGTTTATCAATAAAATCCTAAGGATAGTTATTGTTTTTTAAGATGGATCTTATCTTCTTTAAGTTATCAAAATGAAACTCTTTTTTGGACAATAAAATCGCTCTATCAACCAGATTGTATACAATATTCTTTTTTTGTTGGATTGGATGATCTGAAAAATAATTAATGAGTCTATCCAATGAAGTCGGCTTTTGATACCAATTTGTGACAATTTTGTTGTTTTTTCTAGTAAGTTTTAAATCAAGAAAATTAATTGAGTTATCCTTTTCTTTCTCAATAGTAAATTGTAATTTTTGATTGTAAGCATTAAAAGTATTGATGACTAAGTTGACATGTTCTTTTTTTACAGCTAATATTGTGTCATCAACATATCTAAAATAAAAAAGAGGGACACAATTGTGCTCCTCCTTTAATTTTGTTAAACAATCAGTTTCCAGATCATCCATGACAATGTTTGAAACGAAGGCTGAAATTGGTGAACCCATCGGTGTACCATAAATTTGTCGATAAAATTTTTCTCCAAGAGAGAAATAGGTGTTTTAAATACAAATTTAGTACAGTCGATAATATCTGAGAAAGGAATCTTACATTTCTGTCTTATAGAATGAATACGTCGATCTAAACTCTGAATGACCAGTTCACAAGAAACGTTTGTAAACATAGAACTTACGTCGAGAGAAATAAAAGTATAGTTATCGTCCATAACAAGATTGCTCAGTTTATTTTTAAGTTCTAAACTATTATTAATATGTGAACGAGGTAGAGTAATACAATTTTTTAATGAATTATACAATATTTTTGCAAGAAAATGTGTTGGACATATGTGTCCATATGCCTTCGCTAATACAGTGTCAGTCAGGGTCAATTGATTAGGATGGTAGTTTTTGTCAAAAAATTCATTTTCATTCAGATATTTTAAAATGCTTGATGTTTCTTTGATTAGTTTTTTAAGCGGATTCTTTTTTATAAGTTCGTATGTTGACACGTCAGAAAACATATCCAACATTTTTTTATTGTATTCAGACTTTTTTATAAGTGCAGTCACATTGCCTTTATCGGCTGGAGTGAAAAAAACATCAGGATTACTCTTTAAAAAACTTTTTGTGCTTTGTAATTTTTTGGCAAATGGCCTATCTTGGTTTTTAGAAAGATTTTTATTATTTAAATTACTTAACAGGACATCAGAAAATTTTCCCCTTAAATTATTCTTTGAGTTTTCATTAATGTCAATTGTAGATAAAGAAGACTCCAGGTTTTTAATAGAATTTGTTAATTAACTTTTGTCATTGTTCAAATTTATTTATTTGGAGCGGGGAGAAACGTGGGACACCTTCTGATCGTGAAGATTAATTATTTAAAATATCCAACTTCCCACACATGATCACCTTCGGCACCCTCTATAGGCAACAAATTGAAACTTTTTTAAATATAAAAAAATTCATGAATAACAGGTTCGAAAGGCACCTCAAAAGTGTCACTCCCCCTTAAACTTTTCAAGAAACCTTTTCGTCCGTTTTGGTAAAGAAAAAAATAGTCGATTTTTACTATGTAATTTATCGCCGCCATTTTGTTATAAAATTTTAAATAAACAATTTTTTTCTACATTTTAATATGTATTTAATAAACCCTCCAAAAAGAAATCCTATTCTACTTTCCATTTTGTCAAAACAAATCATCAAATATATAGGTCTCTTTTTCTGACTCTAGAGTACTCTAGAGTACTCTAGTTACCCCTTAAACATTTGCTGATTTGTTAAATTTATAAATTTAATAAAGCTTAGTTAACTATTTGTTATTTGTTTAAATAATTAAAAAATCAATAACTGTATGTTTAATGTTTGTTTGTTATTATAATTAGGTCAAAAAATTACAAAATTACGAAAAAGCTGCATTTCCAGAAGTGTAGGAAGAAAGAAGTTAGTAGTTAACAATAATAAATCGTTTATACAAATAAAGTGTGCAGTATAACGTTGGTATACAATATGGGCTGACCTACCCAGGTTGGGATCCCGTCTAGTGAAAGTTAAAATTCATCGGTTTTAAAATTTTTTTAAAAATTGTCGGCTGCAATATTGCATGAAAAACTTAAAACTTTGTAAATCTGTCTTCAGACTCGTAATCAGTGACAAAAAACCCTCGAATCCAAATTTTGTTAAAATCTATCTACATTATAAAATTTTATTTTCATAGTTTTTGGGGGTTGTACTGGATTAAAAAAAAAATTTTTAATCTGATTTCAGATTCTTATTCAGCGTTATGAAATACCCCTAAATCGAAAAATTTTAAGACGCATGATTATTCCTGAAATGTTATTTGACCTTATTTATTAACGATATATTGAAATTCAGTAACTGTACTGCATATTTACTTCATATAAATGTATATTAAATTTAATACAGATATTTTAACGCAGTGTATACATA